CTTTCTCAATACACTCGATGGCACCCCTAACTTTACTATGGGATAAACGGCGTTCTTCTTGGGATGATGCACCACGTGCCTCTTCACTGACGTCATCATCATCTACCATCTCGTCGGTAGTCACATCAGGATCCCTTATCACCTCCAGGATGTTGTCGTTGGTGGTCTCGGAGAAGCCTGCAGCTGTAACACTCTGCGCAGCTTCTCTGGCAAGGTCCACTGCTACTGCAACAGTCTGAACCTCACCAGTCACAGATTAACTCTGCCTAACACCCGGAATGCCTTGCAACACATGTTTCCATGCATGACGAACAGTTGCTACAGACAGCTGATCCCATGCCTCCACCAAGAAGTCCACAGCTTTCTTGACGTTGAAGGTTCTCCAGAATTGTTTCAAAAGCACTTCTTGCTCTGCCAACTGTTGATCCTCGTCGTCTTTGCTCTTGCTATCGGTGTTGGTGTCACTCAGGTTACACAACTCTTCCTTGGTGTTGGTGTAGTCGTTCAGGAGCTTGAAGTTTTTAGCAGAGAATGCAGCTTTTACTTTATAGATCAATTCTTGGTCCATGGGCTGTATTATAGACGTAGTGTTGGGAGGAAGGCAGACCACTTTTACGTTGGGGTGACGATCTAACAGTAGGGGCGAGTGTCCTGGTGCGTTGTCAAGCAGCAACAAAATCTTGAATGGCACATTCTGTTGCTCACAGAATTTCTTCACATCGGGAACGAAACAGTTATCAAACCAGGAGAGGGACAGAGAAGAGAACATCCACGCCTTACGTGCGGTCAGCCAGTGGACATTTAGCTTGGTCATGTCCATGCTCTTGTAGGCGTGCGGCTTGCGTGCTGTGTGGATCACCGATAACTTGAGCTTACAGGTACCGGAGGCATTGGTGGTAAACAGGACGGTGATGCGCTCCTTCTGCAACTTACGGCTCCGACACTTGCTGGCATTCTTCACAACGAAGGTCTTGGAAGGTAGCTTTTTCCAAAAAAGACCAGATTCGTCCATGTTAAACACCTGGTTGTCGGTGTACTGTCTTTCCTCCATAATCTCATGTAAAAACGGAGGAAATTCCCTAGTCGCAACACGGTCAGCACTAGCTTCTTCACCACCAATGTTTATATTGGTGATCCTGTTCCTCTTCTTAAACCTCTGTCACCACCCAGATGAAGCATTAAAGGGTTTGGGCTCTGTAATTCTCATCTTTCGTGACACTGCAGCCTACAGTTCACGTGCGTACTCCTTAACTGAGCGCGTGTCCACCGCCATGTGCCGTCGCGCCTGACGCACCGAGTGGCTCACAAGTATTTTTTCCGTCTTGAGAAGCACCTGGTTGTGGAAATACTTGATCATAGAAGCACCTGTAGACTTTGTGATGTTCATGTGCTCCTTTATCTTGGCTGCATCCTTCTTAATTGTCCTGATAGTTGATTCGTTAACACCATGCTGGCGCGCGAGATCAACCTGTCTTGTTCCTTTCTCCAACTCTTGTATGATCTTATATTTGATTTCGTAGTTTAAGGAACGTCGTGTCTTCTTTGGCTTAGGGCGGCTGGGTCCAGGTAATGCAAGGTTTCTTTGTGGTGGTGGTCCGGTGGAAGCCATTCTTATGGAACAATAGATACCGATATACAGTACACTGTGTAGCCTGGAGGGGTGTAACTGACGCGGGTAGGTCAAGGGGCTTGAACGCTCCTGCGGCGGGGCACGTCATAGTACATTAAACCAATCACAGCTAGCGGGGAGGGAGGTAAGGATGCTTTGCCCAATCACAGTCCGCTACGTCATATGACGTCACCGATAACGCAACAAAGACATACACTGCGCAACCTACTCGCGCCGCTTACACAACATGGCAGATGGTGGGAGGTTTGGATCCAAAAATGGCGCGGCGCGAGAGGACCGCTCTCCGCGTAAAGGGGTACACACACTGCGGAAAATGAGCATTCCGTGTTCGGCAGGGTAACGTGTAAATGCGTAAAGTAAAGTGGGACCGCGTAAAGCGAGGGTTGAATGTACATTAAAGACATATATTAATTTGATACTCACATTAAAATGGTTTTCCCAACAGTAGAAGCAGTGCTCTGACATGGGAAAAACTCAGCGAGCAGCAAGTCACCACATCTTCCTTTTTTCATTTCCCTCCGTATTTAAACAAATATTTTTCCTGGTGTGGCTGTCCGTACTCTTACACATTGGAACGGAGCACCAATGATGCATTTTGCTTTACCTTAACATTATTTTTTTATCAAAGGTGACTGTTAAAGCACACAAATCAACTGGCTGACTCATTCCCTTGGCTTCACCACTACAGTAGAACGCTGATTTAAAGCGATTCAATTAAAGATTTGTGGGGTACGTGATGTTTCGGTTCTCACTCAGGATGGGATGGAGAAAGGAAACTCACAATGTGCTCTCTGTATACATGTTGTATTGGATGTACAATGCAGCTTGATGCTGGGAAGTGGCAGCGTGGTTACAAGCGTGATGTAGAGAGAGCTGGTTGGTGAGGATGCTCAGAGGAGGACAGCTTGTGGGTCGCCATGCTCGCCGGCGGGAGCGAGGACCGCCAGGCAGGAGTGGAGGAGGTGGTGTTGCTTGCTGGTTGGTGTAGGTAGAAAGAGAGCGGTCACCACGAGGTTAGGTCTTTTATAGCGGAGGTAGGCGTGGGTAGATAGTTGACCTCCGTCATGTAAGGCGGCGCTGGTTGACCTAGACCACGAGGCATACACTGGGGAATTCGCGGGGTCTGCTACTCAGCGACAAACAGCGTTTGTAGGGGAGGGATCCACTACAGATTATTGATTTGAAGCGACCCCAACAATTAAGGAAAATTTTTAAATTTAAAGCGAATCCTTCCTATTTTGCAGAGTCAATCTGGCGCATCATATTTAAAATTTCACGCCTAATGTTTCTCTGGGCACGCTACACCACCCTCTTACGCCCTCCCACATGCTCAGTTCTCGCACTGACGCTCAAGTGAATGGACATAGTATGTGACGCTATCTCCTTCTACCACGTGCATTAACCATCGCCACTATGTCCAAGAGGCCAGCTGCTACATCATTAACTACCCCAAAGGCCAAGAAATAGGTCATATGCGCGCCAATCGCTATCCTGCCAAAGCTCCACCCCCTCCATCCAAGCTCTGTCTACATAAAGTTTTTCAACTAATATTTTTGGCTCGATATATAGTATGTAACTTTTTTCATTTATTTTTACTTATTTACATACACACACTGTCCTACGGGCAAATCTGTACTGTACATGTACTCAAAATAATGTACTAAATGATTACTAAAATTTTTGTCTAGTACAACCTATAGCATGTTTATATTCAAATTAATCACTATCTTATAAGAATTCCGGCTATGTAAATTCTATTCTCCCCGGCCACTTCTATGACATTTTATAAGCAAAAACTCAATCTAAAGGACATAAATAAACACTTCACTAGACCTTCGGCACAAATGTCAAACATGTCACTCACTCCTCCTCCTCCTCCCCTCCCCTCCTCCTCCCCTCCCTCCCTCCCTCCCCCTCCCTTTCTCTCCTCCTCTCCTCCTCCCACCCCCCCCTCCTCACCCTCCCCACCCCTCCCCTCCCCCTCCTCCTCCCCCCTCCCCCTCTCCCCTCCTCCCCTCCCTTCTGCTCTACCCCCCATCACCCCAGCCAGGGTTTGGTGGTTATACAGTAGGCTTTAAGTTTTTATCTTATATAATATCACAGACTAAAGTTAGGAGAATATAATTTGCATTTCTGGAATCCTTGCAAGACATTGAATAATTTGAATATAAACGTCATATGTTTTGCACAAGATATAAAAATTTTAGCCCTTTGTAATAAAATTCTTAATTAGAACTAAAATTTGTATGTCTAATGCGACTGTAGCATGTTTATATTCAAACTAATCACTATCTTATAAGAATTCCAGCAATGTTAATTATATTATTCCATATCAGTTCAGTGACATTGTATAAGAGGAAAACTTTGTCACTCTGAAGAACAGATAAATAAATAAGCACTAGACCTTGGCATCAACTGTCAAACATATCACCTCACCTCTCTCCACCCCCCCCATCTTCCCAGCCAGTAAATAGACCATTTTGCATCCCTTAATTTTAGTTGTGTTGATTTATGAGTGTTTGTTTTAACATAATACCCTGTACTACTAAAAACAATGTTTTGTTTATTCTAGGAGATGGGCTGAGATGCATCTGGATAGACTGTCAGTTTTTTTAGTATTTTGTGTTTCTCTCAAGTACCAAACTAAATTATTCCATTAAAACAACACTTCGATTTAGTGTGAATTCGGTTTAAAGAGACCACTCTTGGAATCTATCTTGTATTTTATCAACGTTCCACTGTATTCTGTAGTGGTGACGTTACAGCCAATCGCAGGACGTTTTCCAGTTATGTGATTTTGAGCAACTTTAACCTTTATTTACTTTATACTTTCTGGTCTATTTTATTAGAAAATATGGTTACCAGAGTCAACATATTTTTACTTGTTGAAGTGCTTATTTATAAAAAAATAGTGACCCTCAACTCATCCATTAAACTCTATTCCTATAAATTCTTATGAGAATTAATTCCCATTTATAAGTTGTTTCATTCTCATTGGCTTTTTTCTGGTTCCTATTAACCACTTATAACGAGGACTTCCTGTACCTCACTCGGGTAAAGAATCAGCCCATCTCCTTTGGAGAATTTATGTGTTTAGCGATGATCCACTTTCAACCTCCTCATTTGAGGTTACAAATGGGAACTTTATACCCATCCCAGGTGTTTGAAATTGTTTCGTTCAAACCCCCACACCATGACAAGGTAACGCAAATTTGGGCACGAGATGGAGTTGTACTGTACCTTGCAGGGAACTAAGCAATATATAGGGTAGTTAATGTCAATTCAAAGCAGATAGATCACTGTCATATTCAATACTGTACAGAACATTTAGGATATATATTTAGATCCTGGTTACTGATTTTTTTGATAGCTTTCAGAGTTTAATCAAGTACAAGTGGAAGAAGAATCACAGAGGACAACTTCGAACAAAAATATAGAAACCAATTATATCCCCATAGGTCATCATAGACTCAACATTCATGAAACAGGGTGAGTAAGGACCTTATTTGTTCTTTTATTACATACAGGAGGTCCTCGGGTTATGTACAATCCCAGACGAAAGTTCTTGATACAGTCAAGGTGGAAGGTGTAAAATTCTGCCTCCACCCTAACAGGATGGCAGGTAGCTGTCCATTCATTGCCCTCACCACACAAACAAGCACCCAAGCAGTTCAGTATTCAGCTCTAATAATTCCATTTCTCAATAAGGACTAGGAAAGGCTGTCATTGTTTTGTTTAATAATTTCATGAAACAATTTACCCAATCTTGTTTTATATTATTCGACATAATAGGTGTGTCTACATCAGTGGTGTCAAACTCAAAAACTTTCGAGGGCCAATTCTTATTTTAGTTACCCTCTTCAGGGCCAACACAAGTGTTATATCACATATTTGCAGGATTGAGGTTTAAAGCTTCACACATTGTCTTACCTGTCTTGCCAGGAATACCTCATTTGGGTTTGTCTGATCTTAAGTATGTAAAATGCAATTTACTTAATAAACATGATTAACGCTAATAATAGGATAGCAAAAGGCATATAGGTGCAGTTTTTATAAGCATTTTCCCTTTACAGTAGTGTTATTGCGAGCATTAACAATATAAATTCAATTATTGCCACAATGATGTAAAGATCATTTTGGAATTTATTGACTCAGTCATACAGTAGAACGTTGATATAACGGGAGATACGTTCCAAGAGAGGTCGCTTTAAACCGAATTGCACAAAATCACAAAATCGAATTCGCACAAAATTGAAGTGTTGTTTCAATGGAATAATTTAGTTTGGTGCTGGAGAGAAACACAAAATACTAAAAAGACTGAGAGTCTACCCAGATGCACCTCAGCCCATCTCCTTGAATAAACAAAACATTGTTTTTTGTAGTATTATGTTAAAACAAACACTCATAAATCAACACAGCTAAAATTATGGGCCGTGAAATGGTCTGTTTACTAGCAATCAGCTGATAGGAAGATGGGGGGGGGGGGTGGTGTGAGGTGATCAATTTGACAGTTGATGCCAAGGTCTAGTGTTTATTTATCTGCAGTGTGTTTAATGTATTACAGTATACAGTTGTACCCCGCTTTATGCGGTCAATTGAACCCACAGGGTACCGCGTTAAGTGAACATCAGAACATATGAGATTAATTCCAATAGAGACTGGCCCGACCCCCAAACTCTACTTTTTCCAACACAATACCTATGTTCTAGTAAAAATAACATCTTAATTTTATGATGGTACATGCACACAATTAATACTTAAGAGAAATAGAGAAATACAGTCGCCAATTAATGTCCATTCAAATAATGGACTCAACTCCCTCCCCCTCTTCTCACACTACACTGCTGGCTCTTCCCTCTCTGAGAAATTTTGGGGGGAAAACCACTAGATTTTAATAAATAATACCTCAAACTAAAGTTAGGATAATATAATTGACATTGCTGGATTCCTTGTAAGACCAGGTATATTTTGAATACAAATGTCATATATTTTGCACAAAAAAATAACATATTTACTCAGAGTAAACATTATATCTAAAATTTGTATGTCTAATGCAAAATCTATGATGTTTATATTCAAAATGATCATCATATTGTAAGAATTCCAGCAATGTAAATTATATTCTGGCTGGGTAATTTGTATGAATTTTATGAGCTAAAACAGGCAGGCAGGGTGGCAGGTGGGGGGTGGGGCGAATCTAAAAATAGCTCTCGAGCCGGACACTCTGCGCGTATACCTGGAAAAAACCCGCGTGATGGGAATTTCATATATATATATATATATATATATATATATATATATATATATATATATATATATATATATATATATATATATATATATATATATATATATATATATATATATATATATATATATATATATATATAATATATATATATATATATATATATATATATATATATATATATATATATATATATATATATATATATATATATATATATATGATATATATGAAATTATCACTTAGCATATAGAAATATTTCGTTTAAGGATATTTTATTGGAAAGCGTTTGGTAGAGAATTTGTTCAGCATCATTATAGTATCAAATTCATCTTCCTATCACAATTAGTCACATTTGAGCGAGGGGGGGGGGGGGGCTGACTATGCAACCCTACCCCCCAAAAAGGTTCACTTCTGTCAACACACCAACACCATACACACATCATACATACACCCCTACAACACACACTCATCATACATACAGTACACCCCTACATCACACACACACATCATACATACACCCCTGCATCACACACACACATCATACATACACCCCTACATCACACACACACACATCATACATACACCCCTACATCACACACAAACACACCCTCCAACAACCACATATACACACACACCTGGTGCTCCTCTGGGAGCAGCCAGGTCAACTGTAAGTTGGCCCATACCAACTCCCTCCCCTGACCCCTCCTCCCCACCGGAATATCAACAAGTTCTCGCCAGAAGTTACAATTTCATTTAGGAAAGGAATGGAACTAATGTTGAACAGAGGTGAACAGTGCTCAAGTCAGTGAGAACAACTCGACAGTGACAGCTGAGTCGTACCCAAGTTAAACTTCACACAGTGAGGTCCCAGGTACCCAGTGATAACTGCCCCTGAGACCCAACAAGAACCAGCGATGTGTTAATCCGCCTACGATAGGAAGGCCTGGGACCACACCTCACTCATATAACACCATCTGTAAGGGAATTACTACATCACGTTAGGTCCCTCATAACTCCATCTGTGAGGGAACTACTACACCACGTGAGGTCCCTCCTAACACCATCCGGGAGGGAATTACTACACTACGTGTTTGCTGTTCAACACCTACATTAATCTGTATGTTCACTGTATGTTCCTTTACCTTTCTCTAATGAAGGCTTTTGTTAAACCACCAATGTATGTAATAAGTCATTTTTGTCCAATGTATATTTTCAGCCTTCGGGCTGCAGAACTTTTTCAATAAACCGTTAATTATTATTATTTATTATTACACCCCAACACCCCCAGCAAGGGAATTAAGACACATCTGCATGTATGACTGCATGGTAGCGAGTTAAATATCTCCTCTTGAGGAGCACTTGGCAACACTCATTTCCACTCCATCTCTTAATTTACCCACACCTTTCTGCTTTCTCACTCCACATTTTAAAATATTATGTAATGTAATGTTGAAGGGATACAACTTTTCTCATTTGTACTAATATCTGTACTTACCACAATCTCTCTAAAAATATTTTAGGTTTCGTGTTTATTCAAGATGTATTCAGGTCATGAGACCCACTAATCCTCCACCCAAGAATGGGTGACCTGACATTCCATCAGATCAGTAATATGAGACTGCTAATTCCCCACCTCCACCTGACATTGTATCAGGTCAAATCAGTTACGTGAGACCCACTAATCCCCCACAGCTCTATGGGAGTGGAAAGTAACAGTCTTTGCTGTCACACACAGCTTCATTCATCTCCATATCCTTTAGATATTTTTATTTAATTAGAACTGTATTTAAAGATTCCAGTAGTTTAGACTTGAGGAAAACATCTCCGGCACCCAGAAACGTTCTGGGGAAGTGGGCTAGTGTGCGTCTGTGCAAAAGCTCTAGTTTAGACACTCGGAAACTTGTCCCGGTACTGTAACCGGAAAAGGTTCCGGGGATAAGGAATTTTTCCGGGTTTGAGAAAGTCATTTTGTTACCTGGAATTCTCTCATCCCCGGAAGTTCTCTGCACCAATTGTTCCGGCTGACGGGAATATCACTGTACTCATATCATCGAGATTTTACTGTACTAAAGTGACAGGCCTACCAGGGGGGGCCCTTTCCTTATGTGTGGGAGATGTTACATTTCTTTAATTAATATTGAAGCTCGGTAATAGATGTTACAGTTACTTAGTTGATATTGAAGTATAATAATAGATGTTACAGTCTTTAGTTAACATTGAAGCATAATAATAAATGTTGCAGTTCTTTAGTTGATATTGAAGCATAATAATAAGATGCACTTTTTTCTCTTACAGGGGTAGTGTAGCTGGGAGCCAATGTGTTGGAAGTTTTTGTGATATGACCCTGGACGAGCATCCTGTAGTACACCAAGAACCATCAGTGACATTTACTACTTTCCCTTGGCAGGTTTGTACAAAGACAAAGTTTGTAAGTGAGGTGTAGTACAGAATATCTTGGAATAGAATGTTAAAATTGTGGTTATAAACACTTGAAGTATATTAACTGAAATATACAAATTGGGTTGATAAAGTAACTTTCTTCTTTTTACTGGTTCCTTTTTGTAGCCTGTGGGTTATCCTTAAGTGACAAACTAGATCCATACTGCTAAATCATCCTTGGCAGAGTCTACAGTTTTCAAGGAGCCTAATATGTATGGCAGTAGGCTACTCATTATCTAGGTGAACTGGACAACATTTGATTGCTTTGAGTAGCTCCTTGCATAGTAAAAATTGGGTGATATTGCTTAAATCCATACCATGGTGGTGGTTTTAAGAGCCAATGAGTTTGTGTATGTGACAGCTTCTGGATGCCAGGTTTTTGGGGGGGTTTGGCTTTGGCTTTGAAATTATCTGAAGGTATATTTGCTTGAAATAAGGCAAGCAAAGTACTTGGATTCATACAAAAGTGTGTTAATTACATGACTAGCAAGGTTATCCTAAAACTATATCTTGCACTTGTGAGACCTCATTTGGATTACACTGTTCAATTTTAGTCACCGTACTACAGAATGGATATCGAATCCCTAGAAAGCTTTCAGGTTAAAGCATCTGAATTTATACTCCCTCAAGATACTCAGAGTGAGGGGTGATAAGATTGAGGTTTAGAAATCGTAGTCAGGGCCAAACAAAGGTACAGTACTTAAACTATCCAACCAGGAGTGAACCTGTAGCAATGGTTTTAAATTAGACTAAATTACATATAGGCGTGAGATAGGTAAACACTGGTTTGGAAATTAAGATGATTGGAATTCATTACCGAACATCATCATTAACTCGAACACGCTGGGAAGCTTCAAATATAGGTTGGACAGATATTTGAACGATAGGGGTTGGGTGTAAACGGAGCTGCTTAATATGGGTCAATAGGCCTGCTGCAGTTTCCTTCATTCTTATGTTCAGCTTCAAAACATTATAAAGGCTTTGGCTCTGAATCCATTGGCCTGGCTTTAGATTTTCTTCTTTACACAGACACAGTGATCATATTGTGATGGCACAGCTGAGCTGATCCCTGACCTGACCTAAGAAAGTCCAGGTGCATGCTATAGGCTCTGACATCACAAATTATCCCTCCTCTTTCTATTGGTCTTTTATCACAATGACCTAACCTGCCTCTTCATCCCCAGGTGTTCTTAGATGACTAACAGCACCTTCTCTGTGACTGTATTATTGTTTCTATATTAATGTTTATTTAGTAGATTTTTGAATTACTGATATGTTTTGAGTAGTGAATAAAATAAATGTATGAATGAAAGAAGTTAATGAAATGAATGATAATGAATAAAATAAAATGATGGATAAAATAAAATTGATAAATATATGTTGTTACTGTAAGCAACATTTTCAGCCTACAGTAAGAGTCAAAAATTACCCAGAGAACAATCCTAAATAAATTCTCTACAAGATGTTTCCAGTAAGAGATCCTTAAACAAAATAATTTGAAATGATATACTGTACAAGTAATATCTCGGTTAGCCGGAATCCCTCAAACCCAGAAATCTCCGATAGCCGGGATTTAAATTTGCCCGGAAAATCATTCCCAAAGCTGAATTTTTCCAAAAATTTCCAGCTTTAGGAAAAGATGTCCGAGGTTGAAAATCGAGAGAATTTTCTGAAAATGTCTTGAATAAAGATGAAAGTTAAAGTATTTTGGGGACCTGACCTGACTCAATGTCAGGTGGAGGTAGGGCGGGGGGATTAGTGGTCTTTTCATAACTTTTGTGTGGTTTTTTACCCTCTTTTCCCTCCATATTTTAAAATATTATGTAATCTAATGTTGAAGGGATACAACTTTGTTCCTTTATACTTATACAATCACAGTCTCTCTACAAATTTTTTATTCAAGACTTTTTCAGGACATGAGACCCACTAATTCCCCACCTAGAAAGGGTGACCTGACATTCCATCAGAAGGTCAGTAATATGAGACCATCTATTCCCCCACCCTACCTCCACCGGACATCGAGTCAGGTCATGTCAGGTCCTCCCCCAGATATTTTAAGTTTTGTCTTTATTCAGGACATTTTCAGAAAATTCTCTTGATTTTTAACCTCAGAAAATTTGTTCCCAACCCCTGAAAGTTTGGGAGATTTCTAGGTTTGAGGGATTCAGGCTAATAGAGATATTACTCTATTATTATTATTATTATTATTATTACAGTGTTACTATTGTTATTATTATTTTTATTATTTTTAATTTTATTAATATTACATCTAATAATGAAAATCTCATTGAATAAATTCAGCCATCTTTTCTTTGAAACTTGGCCCTCCATGGTTCTTATCACATTTGACTTTATACATTGTCAGCTGGTGTGGGTAACTTGTGATTGGCTAATACTGTATTCCTTCAGTGTTTATTCCTGACACAGTGATTGGTTTAGCGAGGAAACGAAACAAAAATTTATTTTATTTTTTTATTGATTCCTAGTCTTACTTCATGTGTTGGAAAATTAAGTGAGAATTTTTTTCCAGGCTTTGACAGGAAGTGACCGTAGAGTGCTAGATTCAACAACACAGTCATTGTTGAGTCATAATGAGGCAGTGGTTGTGGCATCGTTGCACTTCCTTGATACTGTTGTGCTTAAAGACTTTCCTGCTGAAGTTATTTTACAGCGACCAGCAGTTGTACAGGTTTGTGTGTATCAATGTGTGCATGCTTGTTTGTATGCTAATGTGGTTGTTTCCTCTATATACATACATTCTGATGTATAGATGTATACAGTAAATCCTATTTACATTGTTCCTAATTACCTTATTTTGCTTAACCATCACTGACATATTAGGGAGCAAATTCCATTTAATATTACAGTAAAACCTCGATAAATTGGACTTTAATATAGAGGTAGTCCCCGACTTACGACTGCTTGGACTTACGTCCATCGGTACTTAAGACCTGCTCTGACCTTACGACCGTCGGGACATACTACCGCGGCAGTCGTGGCCCAAAATATTTTCAAAGGACGCGCGCATTTTCTATACCGAAACGTTTCTGTCCCGGGCGAGAGCGTGGTGAGCTCGGGTCTACTCAGTGGAGCGCTTAGTTGGTGTTTGGCTATTGTATCCTATACTGATCGCGCTGTGAACTTTCGTTATTATCGTATTTAATTGACTTTATAATGACTGGAAAGCGTAAAAGTGAGAGTGCTGGTGGTGCTCCAAAGAAAAGGAGACAGGCAATTACTTTTGAGATGAAAATGAAGATAATAACACAGCATGAGAATGGAAAAACTGTAGCAACAATCTCAAGTGACCTAGGTTTCTCACACTTGACCATATCCATTATTCTGAAGGACAAGGAACGTATTCATGATGTAGTGAAAGGAACAACACCTATAAAGGGAACTATAATTTCAAGGAAAAGACAAGGTCCTATTCACGATATGGAAAAATTATTGGTGATATGGATAGAAGACCAGATACAGAAGCGTGTACCCTTAGGCCTTCTAACCATACAGGCTAAAGCAAGAAGCCTGTTCCAAAGCCTGAAGGAGCAGGCAGGAGATGAATGTGATCAAACCTTTACAGGAAGTCATGGGTGGTTTGATAGATTTAAAAAACGCTACAGTCTACACATTGTTAAGGTGAATGGAGAGGCAGCTAGTGCCGATGTTGGTACTGCCGAAGCTTTTAAGGAGTGATTGTGGAAGGGAATTATTTGCCTGAGCAAATATTCAATGTGGATGAGACTGGATTATTGTGGAAGCACATGCCTGAGCAGACATACAGTTTCAAAGGAGTTAATGAAAATGAAGTTATTTCGGATATTAGTAACAAGATAGTCGAGTTAGGTAAACAGCTGGAGTTAGAAATTGATAATGATGCTGAACTTACTTACTTACTAATTGACCATTTAATGGCATATATAACTAAATATTTTTATCCTTAGAATCTGGGGGTCCTGAGGCCAGTCCTCAAGTACCTCATAGTTATATATTTCTGCAACCTGGATTATATTTAAACCTAAATAATAGAGGAGGTGAGACAACATTGTAGGAGGCTGATAGTATTCATGATCTTGATATAGTTGTTTAGTGACCCAATTTAGAAGCTATTCATCATATCCTAAACAGCCCCAATTAGTTGAACAAATTTTGAAACCCCAATCCCAATGGTGGAGTCTTTTATGTATTTCCAGCGAGCAGAGGTTTCTCTTAGACCGTCATTGATAAGCATAAGAAAGCAGAGCGGTTCCACCTTGGTGACTTGGGGGACGCCACAGGTGAGTGATTAAAAGTGGAGACAGCCCCTCGGAAGCTTACGGCTTGGCATCGATCACTAAGGAAGTTTGTAAGCCATGGTATAAGACTTCTTCAAAACCGGAGGTTGATAGTTTTGTTGATAATTATATTGTGTTCGACTAGATCAAATGCTTTGGTGAAGTCAATGAAGGCAACAGCCACAGACGTCTTTCGTTTTTCCAGATAGTGGTATATGTAGTCGAGAAAGTTGACAAGACAGTGAGTGGTGGAGGAAGTTTTCATATTGCCAAATTGCTGAGTATCTATGGCACCTGCAATATCAGCATAAGCCCAGTCAAACACAAAACTTTCACAGATTAAGCTGGGGTGGTTGAATTGGACACCGGTGTCACATATGAGGTCTTTCAGTCATCTGGGCATCTTGCTTGGCTGAGGGAAGCATTGATGGTGGAGCAGAGGGGTTTGCTAGTTCCGGGGAGAATTCCTTGTAGAGTTTCATTGGTAAGTCAATGGGGGTGATGGAGTGCTTTAGCTTCAGTTGGTCCTGACGTTTTGCAACTTCAAATTCTTCCACTAAGTCAGTGGGAAAGGGGGCTGGTAGGTAAACAGGGAGACTGGTGTTGTCAAACCAGGGGAGCGTCTGGCATATAGTTGCAAAATGATTGTTTGATTTCTCAGCTGTGTCACCATTAGTGAGATGGCTAAGGATAAGGAGGGGGTGTGTCCTATTGTTTAGTCCACAGAGTTCTTTAAGCTTACCATAACACTGATAGATGTTGGCCTGCTTCAGGTGTTGCAACTTAATTGGGTAGTGGGACTTCTTTGCAGTGTGTATTTCACGGATGACTTGGTTGCTAAGGGACCTGTAGTGGTTGTGGTCATTGAGATAAAAGGCGCTGTCTTTCTATTACATAAGTCATTTGATCTGAGGTGTGATCCAGGGGAAGTCAGCTGGGTGTGATCTGAGCTTCCGGGGTGGTGTTGGTGTATTTATCCATTTGGTGTCCACTTCATCCACACTAAGTACTTCAGTCCAGGGATGGTGAACTATCCACTGCCCAAAGAGACACATTGCAGAGTCAGTAATCGGTCTGTAAGTCTTGAGGTAGGGTCTTTGCACTTGGCTGTTAGTGGGAGCTGGAGACCAGGGCCGGTATACACAAAACTTTTAAGTGCTAGCAAACAGTTGTTAAGGATGACATTTTCCTGTTATGCACTAATAGTACAAACACAAAACTTTTAAGGGCCTTAATAGTTCTGTTAAGTTAAAAGACCTGGAGCACTTTTAAGTCCTGTAATAGTTGTCTGTTAGTTGATACCATGGCAAACCAACAACAAAATTGGCTGCGGCAACGCATTTATCGGGAAAGGTGAGATATATTTACTGAATATAGTGTGTATATATTGTGTGTATTCCCTCTTTATAGCAGAGATCTTCTTTCTTGACTTGGACAATACTGAGAATCAGTGTAATAATTTTTTTTTGTTAGGTTAGGAGGTTAGGACGTGGCCTGTTAGGTCAGGTAACCTAACCTAACCTAACTAAAAAAAAAGTTAGGTTAGGTTACCTGACCAAACAGGCCACGTCCTAACTTCCTAGCTTAACTTAGCAAAAAAAAAATGATTTGCCCCAAGGACAAATGTCAGAATCATCTAAAATAGCAAAAAAATATATTTTTCATGTGAAAAAAGGTGATGGGTGGTTAACGAGAGCGACGCTGCGTGTCACCATAACATTAAATTTGGACTTCTAAGAATTCATGTTTTTACAACCGATAAATCACAAATATCGCGTTTATTTTTCAAATGCGCCGCTTAATTCAAGTATTTTCATTCGCTACTCGGTGAGATCTATGAAATGGTAAGAAAAATATTGTAAAAAGGTGATGGGTTGATAACGAAAAATAACCTCCTCTTTTTGTCTTTAGTATTCAGGAAAGCCTTCAAGTGGCCATTCAATATTAACTTTTTCTCTTCAATGGCATCCACCAATAATAAAGTCTGCTCTGCTGTCCAGCTGGGCTTCCTTTTCTTTCGTGGGGTAGAAACTTCCAGTTCCTCAATAACATGTTTGTTTACAAACAGCACGGCAAGGAAAACCTGGTTAATAAATCCTCCTTCAAACGGCGTAGATTAAAGTTTTTTATTTTAATGATCAAAATGTACAGGGTATATACATGTAAATATTGAAATTAATCTTCATATTTTTATTGGGGTTATTCAGCCATAAGACCATTTTGTATGATGAACTCTTGCTATCCTTTGCCCTGTTTAGCGGTACTTACCGAACAACTATTTGTGCGGTAAAAGTTTGGTAGTTAAGCTTTGTATATAACTTTAAAATTTTACTGCTAGCTAACAGTACTATTATGTCATTAGCATAAAAGTTTTGTGTATACGGGCCCTGAATACTGATTGGTGTGTGTGATACACCCGATAGGAGGCATTGGTTGAGGTGGATGGTACTGGTCCGCTAAGTCAGCTAAGATAAGGTCATGAGTATTTTGACCGTGCAGAGGGAAATCTACAGCTTTTGATAGTACAGTAGTAGCTGGTCCCAGACATCAGTGGTGTCAATTTCATTATAATTCCCGCATAGTACTAACTTGGCACATGGGTACCTAACTCTGAGGAGGTAATGAGGTGATTGATAAGACTGTCTCTGGTGGGTGAGTGAGGTAGATGGTATGCTACACAGTATATGATAGAAGCAGTGTGGCGAAGGTGAGCACGTGGCACAACACATATCCATAATGCCTCAACATCAGCTGGGACAAAAACTTCCAGGCATGACGAGAGTAGTTCATCTTGACAGAAGAGAGCAATGGGGGCCACCTTCCACGTCCATGAGTTTGAAGGTGATGAAAGATTTGATATCCTTCAATGTGGCATGTTTCAGGAACAATATGCTACGCTTCGCATATGGCAACGACGTTGGCAGCGACTGATCAGCTAAGAAAGTGACATTGAGGAGCAGTAAGGAGGGAAGATCGTACCATATTCGGGGAACTGAGGTGTGTTTTGTACAGTCTGCCAGCAATGGGTTTCTCTGGTTTTCTAGTGGAGGTGATGGTCCTAATGGGCTTCTGTGATGCCCTTGTCTATGGCTGTGAACACGGAATATGTTCAGTGATTTTAGTAGCACAATAACACTGCCATCAGGGTATCTGTTCTCTCGCTTTAAACTGTACAGGGTGCGCCTGGAGTACGTCACTGGTGAATATCAGTTTTTGTGGATGGACAGAAGTGTTTGTCCGCGGTGGCCATAAACTCGGAGGCGGCACTTTGAGGGCCACTAACATTGGTAGACATCTGTTAATATTTGTCTAGTCGTAAACACCACGAGTCCTTGTCTCTGGCGCTGAAGGGTAGTCGACATAGTACCCACGGTATATGCAAACACCGCGGTGGTCCTTGTCACCGGCAAGGTGA